GCTCCCTTTCCTTTGCCGGGCTCTCCTTTAGGCTGTTTCCCTTTCTCCTTTCCTTTGTCTTTACCTTTCTGGTCTTTGCCTTTTTTGCCTAGGCCTTTGAAGACACCAGGGGGTGGTGCAAGTCCCCTGGATTTTGCTCCGGCCTGTCTCTCCTTTTTGCCCGGCCTGTTGCTGTTGTACCACTTTTTGTAGTCACTGGGATCTTTCGATCTAAGCGACCTGCCAGCAGAGGAGGCTTTGCTGTGGCAGAGCCGTACCAGATTCGGTGGCATCGCGCAAGACTGGACAACCTACCCCCGAGAAGCTCAGGCACAGTTGAACCGGGCGCTGGTGCGTGGGGATCGGATTGTCGAGCTATGCTTCCATGGTTCTCGGTTCCGTGTGGATCTGGTGAACAAGAAGCAGTACAATGCAACGGACATGACCAAGGTGAGAGATGTCCGACTTGTCAACGTGCAGCCGAAGATGTGGCTTCTTATTTCAAAAAGTGAAGAAGCACATTGGGTCGTACTGGATGAAGCAAATTGCAAGCACATTGAAGAAGGCCTTGGTGAGCGACACCTCTGCCACGACGCGGTGCTTTTTGAAATCTCGAATCGTCGACTGGGCAGGTTATACATCGACAAGGCTAGGCAGCGTGCCTACGACTCTCTCTATGAGGATGCATTCCGGGGCCTGCTAGCTTTGCCCAGATCAATGTGGGCCGCAGTCCAGGAATGTCCACAGGATGTAACATTGCCACCTTCCTCCGAGTGGCATCAGCTCCTGTTTCGTCATTTTGAAGCCACCAAGTTCGGCGGCAGGAAGGGCAAGCGCGTTCTGAATGAAGACTTGTTTGTTGGCGACATCACATGCCATCTGCGGAAAAGGCTGTACCTGCAGTTTTTGGAGAAGGTGCACCGTTTCTCGGAGCGGGGCCGAGTGTTGCTTTGCTTCCATGGAACGAAGCCACAGAACAGAGCTGAAATCGTCGACAACGGCTTCTCCATCAGCAAGGTCGGTGCCGGCTCGGGCAATCATGGTTGGTTTGGCAAAGGCATCTATTTCGGACGACGTGCCTACACAGCTCTGGGATATAACCGGGGTGCCGAACTTCTTTGCTGCCTCGTCGCGGTACAAGATGTCTTCGTCACGCCTCCACCGGATAGCTCGGGCAATGCCTACCATGGTCTGCCATGCAAATTGGGCTACGATGCGCATCTGTCGCCCAGTGGTAAGGAGCTTGTCCTCTTCAACCCTCGCCAGATATTGCCATGCTTTACCCTGCATTTGTCAAAGTATGTGGAGTTATCAGACCAGCAAGCCATGTCGGTGCCAGCATCGACCTACGACAAGAGTTCACCCAGTGATTACAGCCCTTGCTTGTAAAAGCTCATTGTAGAACGCGTCCCCATCTTCCGTCTGACCGGCTATGCAGCAAGAGATGCCCGAGACAGCATCTATCAGAACTATCCTTAGCCAGCATCTATCAGACCTATCATTAGCCATCTTGCAATCGTCCAAGATGTAATTGATTGTTTTTCATGTGCATGTTTCCTGTTCCGCTTTGCAAAAAGGACCTGCCTGCCAACCCCTGTTTGAGCCTCCGGCTGGGTTTGTTTTCAGACTTGGCCAACGGCAGCCTCAGCCAGGCTGAGACGGCCTGGCAGCGGCAGAAGGAAGCTCAGCAGAAGCACGACGAGGCTCGGGCCTCGTCCTGCAGAAGAAAAGAAACTCATATATATATATATATAATATGTATATATATATATATATGCATAAACTGTACACTACTGCTTCCTTGCAGTTTTTGGGTAGGTCTACAACAACCTACCCCCAAGCCCTGCCCCAATTAAGTATTGAGGTCTATGTCAGGGTAGTGGCGGAGGACCTGCAGCGGCAGCCAGGTAGTAGCAGTGAGCGCGACGGGAGTGGTGGTGCTGGTGATGCTGCTGTTGCCGCTCCGTATACCGGCTGCCGCTGCAATGTGGAACCACCGCTCTTTGCGAGGGACTCGTAGCAACAACATTTATCCTAGCAAAAGCGGATGAAAAGAGCTTCTTGTACAAGCGATGAATGATGAAAAAAATCCTGGACCCGGAATTGCCAAGCCTTGAAGGTAGAAATAAACGCTGTGACTTGTCCGAATTTCCAAGCAGGGCCCAGATCCTAGAAACTTCAGCCCTCACGACATTCTGTGGAGCGATTGGTGTCAGTGCTGTCCGGACTTGCTGAAGAGGGTTTGCCTGGCAGTGATGCGGTTCACTGATAAGCTTCCCTCTGAGCCCCATATAGACCCATGGCTTTCTGCCACGAGGTTGAGCTTCTCTACGCGCAACTTCAGGACCTCAGTCCTTCTCAGAGTTCTGCCATGACTGGAGAGCGGACCATGTATGGCTTAAAGCGGTAGATGTGGCAGAGTGGATAGCTGCGGCATTTCGCGTCCGATCGAATGTGGTCATGGAGTAGGTTCAGCTGGTGGTCAGCCGGATTGTTGGAGATTTGTTCAGGTTCTCTGGACCTTTGCTGTTCAGATGCAAGGATGTCTCTGTGACGCTCGTGGCTTTGAGGTCTGTGGTGAAGCATCTTGCAGTCGGCAGGGCCTTCCGCATTACGAGCAACCGACTCCGCTCGTCCCTGCGTGGAGCATCCACATCCCAGCTTTGGGTTCTTTTGCACGGCCACAAGTCCTCCGAAGCTTAAAACTCGGGCTCCCCTGGAAGGAGCTGACCCAGCAAAAGCATGCGGAGGCCGGGAGTTGGAGCGAGCGGTTTGGGGTTTAGGATCCAAGCCTGGGGTTGGGCGTGCAATCATGAGAAGACGAATATTGCGGCCAACTTGTATGCACATATCAGGCAGCCACGAAGTGAACTGTAACAGTGCAGTGGCTGGCATAACATGAGAGTCTCAGACAGTATCCGACCCTCGGCGTAGACCCCTACTATAGTATGATCCTGAATGTGAGGACCTTTTGAGTTTTAAGAAACCCAAAAAGACTGAAGCTGTGAACTCCCAACCCCATCATCCTGAATCCTAAAGCCGTATGAAACCCTGAATTCCTGAAGCTCTGACATTCCAAAATCTTAGCTCTCAAATTCCTGAACCCCGGATCCTGCCCATGCCCCCGAAGCGACGAAGGAAGCTCGTGCGCGGCGCCATGCCCAAGATGTCCAGCGGGCAAAGCTGGAATTTGTGGTTTGGCCTTATATAGCATTGGATTCCGGGGGTTTGTCATAGTGAATTTTGAGACGCACACTTTTTTTTGGTTCCTTTAGTGGCGTGTGCTGGGCGGAGGCACGTTGCGATTCCGCGTAGTCGCAACAGGATTATACAACCCATGTGCTCAGGATTGCCGGATTGGCTTCCACGACTCAGCATGGTTTTGTGTACACAAACCACAATGACAAGTCCAGAGATGGAACCAAAACCAGAAGCACCCAATAGAAGGGGTCATTACCGTGTCACTGGTATCCGTGAATCCATGCTTCGGCGTTGTTGGTTTCCGTATGTTCCTGTGAACTCCATTTGGGGAAGCCTCAAAATGCCTCTGCTTCCCGAGACCTTTGAATCCTCGACGCTGGGCCCGAATTAAACCCGAAACCCCAAGCCTAAACCCTGAAGCCTAAACCCTAAACCCCAAGCTTAACGACGAGCTCGAAGGAAGAAGCAACTCGGAAGCTCCGTGCGGCAGAGTCAGAGCTGTGGCAGCGGCAGGCGCAGTGGGCGTTTAGGGTTTAGGGTGGGTAGGTTGAGATTACGGCAGTTTACTGGCTTGTACATGTTCGCTGACTTTAGCAACTCCTCCTGTTCTCTGAGCCTAGCTTAAGTCTTAAGTGTTGCCTCTGCAACATAGACATAGCGCATGCTAGACATGTTCTTGCCTTGCGTTCATCTGGGCATGTAGCCGTCTATTCCAAAAACCCTTCTACTCAGCATGCTCTTTGAACTTGTTACTTCTTTGCACACGCTGAGTGGCAGTGGCGTGGGAGCTCATCGGCTGCACAGCACGTCGACACCCGAAGCTTGGATATGCCACGCAGGCAAACCCGAATTTCTCCACAACCCTAAAAACATAAAAAATATAAACAACATGAAACTTTTTTTTTATGTCTGTCTTCATTCCGCGTACAGAGGTCGCGTTAAGCACGTGACCCCATGTAGCGCTCCATGTGCGCAGCCATTTATGTGGCCAAGCCCTGAATGAGTTCTGTGAACGAAAGCTCGGATTCGTTGATGGCCACGTGGATGTAAAAGCTGCGTGTTGGCATGTTCACACCGGCGCGTTCGTGAAGCTGAACCCAAACTTTAAGCATTCAGAGTTAGGCTTCAGCATTTTTATTCCCAATCCCTAAGCCGTATTGTACTTCCAAAGTCGCTGGAGCAGAAAGGAGGAGCAGCGTCGCGAAGAGGAAGCAGAAAGGCTTCGGCGCGAGGACGCCGCCAGGGGTGGAGAGAGAAGAACTCCTTCCCGGTTTCTAGGGTTTCCTTATTATATAATTATAGTATAATTTCCTTATTCTAGGGTTTCCTTATTATATAATTATAGTATAATTTCCTTATTCTAGGGTTTCCTTATTATATAATTATAGTATAATATACCCCAAACCCTATATAGGCTGGATCTGGGGCTTTCGAGGTATTTGACTACGGTGCTCAGACCCGCGGCCTGGCGTTTCGGGAATCGGCGAGTGAGCAGAATGCTTCTAATAATAGTAATAATAGTAATATTAGTAACATTAGTAGTAATGGTAATAATAAGCATAATAGTAATAATAGTAATAATAGTAAGAATAGTAATAATAGTAATAATAGTAATAATAGTAATAATGGTAATAATAGTAACAATAGTAATAATAGTCTAACTACAATAAGGAAAGGTCTCGGGAGAGCGGAGAGAGGTTTATTCATCAATCTTCTACAAGGGTCCTGCAAGGATTGTAGAGGGCTTGTATAGGTGGCCCTACAGATGCCAGTCTGCGAGCTTAGGAAACGAGCAGCGGTCTGTACTCTTCTGCGGGCATAGCCTGGATCGAAGTGGCTTGTCCTTGGCCCTTTGTGCGCACCCTGAAGCCTATAAGCCCTAAATCCGAAGCCCCTAACTCTTAACCCGAACCCATCAACCCGAAACCCTAAACCCTAAACCCGAAACCCTAAACCCTAAACCCTTAAACCCTAAAGCCCTAAAGCCCTAAACCCTCTAAACCCTAAAGTAGGGTCTAAGGCCGCGGTCTGTTCGCCTCCGGGGTTCAGTGCTGCGCATCTTCTTCAGGGGCCTTCTGATGGCAATATAGGTCTAGGGTTTAGGGTTTAGGGTTTAGGGTTTAGGGGCCTAAATAATTAGAGTGGGGCTTAGGGTATATTATACTATAATGAAATAATAAGGAACCCCCCTCAATTATTACCTCTACTACTATTGTGGGGGTTTCTTATTGTTAATTACAGAAGAATGGGCCCCAAAACCCTATTCTGATTATTAAGGCCCCTACATTAAGGGTGGTCGAGACTTGAAGCTAAGATCCGCCTGGAGCTCTTTGGTTTCGTTTTCCGGGTTTGGGGGGTTTCGGGATTTAGGGTAAGTTTAGGGCATGAAGGGTTTATAGGGCTTGACGTTTAGGGGTTTAGGGTTCAGGGCCTAAAGGGTTTAAAGGGCTTGAGGTTGAGGGGTTTAGGGTTCAGGGCCTAAAGAGTTTTGTAGGGTTAGAGGTTTCGGGTTTCTGGAATTCCAAGCCCCGAGCAGCGCAGGAAGAGCAAGCCCGGCGCATTGAGGAGGAGGTGGAGAAGCGCATCCAGGACAAGGCCGTCCCTCAAAGCCCTAAACCCTAACCCTCCAGCGCTGAACCGGCGCGACAAGTCGCTGGCATAAGGAAAGCAAGATGAATCTTGAGCAGAATTGTCACTCCATAATCGACATCCGCGGTACATGTTTCTGAATTACCGTCGCCATCAGTACTCTCCGTAATGTCGCATTTTCGTGAGAACCTCATCATCCGTCATCCGTATCGCGTCCTCCTGCTTCAGCTTCCCATCCCCATCCTCATTCTTCATGCCTGCTCACATGATGGGATCGACAGTGCAGATGACGAGCTGCCGAAACTTCAGACGGAATTCGGTTGACCCTAAACCCTAAACCCTAAACCCTTAAACCCTTAAACCCTAAACCCTTAAACCCTAAACCCTAAACCCCTAAACCCTAAACCCTCAACACCTTCCAGGTTCAGGCTGAGCTCCATCGACGCCTCGCGGCTGAGGAACGGCGTCTGCGCGATGCCGAGGAGATCGGCGGGGCGCCTACGGGTCGGGTTACTACAAGGCCTGAATGGCTGGTGGCTGGTAGTGCTGTTCCCGACTAGAGCAATGTGACCTGAAATCCCTGTTCTACTCATCACGGCCGCTGACTTTCGGCATTTCTTTTGACGTGCACACACACGCACACAGATCGGGTGAAGCCCGAGATCCCTTGTTCCTCAAAGTAAGGTGCCGACAGCCTACAGATGGTAGATCCAAAGTCCTCCCTGAACTTGAAACCCCTAAACCCTAAACCCTAAAACCTGAACCCTAAACCTAAACCCACTGCGCAGAGCAGTGCAGGAGGATCGGCGCCGCCAAGAAGCCCTGGAGGCAGAGAGAAAGCGAATTGTTGAGGAGGACGTTCGCCGTTGCTCGGCAAGGAGAAGCGAACGACCTCGGGACATTCAGGGTTTAAGGTCTATTAAGCCCTTTAAACCCTATGTTCTAAACCATGAGCTTTCGACGGAAAGGGGATGTGACGCGGGTCAGCGACAAAGATATGATTTCGGGGGCGGGGGGCAAGACGGGGAGGGGTACAGGTAGCCAGAACGACAGGCGGAGCTCTGGATTTTACTCCGTAGCTGTGTGGTGAGGTGTTTGTTGGTTGTAGGTTTGGGGGCCAGCGAAACATCACGAACTTCACCCGTTTTTCGTCTGAAAGCGTCGGCAGTTTTCGGTGCTGCCATTTGGGTGGTTGTCAAAATTATGGTCCCTTTTTGGGTCCTTATTATAATACGGCACCTATTATTTAGGGTACCCCAAAAGGGACCCTAATTTCGACAACTACCCATTTGCACCGAGGAACGTATGCCCGCGAGGTCGAGGCGCAGAGGAGGGAAGAGGCGGAGGCACCATTGGGTAGATCCAGGGGGCAACTTCTTACTATCATGAATTTTGATCATTGTCATTATCGTCATTGTTATTGTGATTCTTACTATCATGAATTTTGATCATTGTCATTATCGTCATTGTTATTGTGATTCTTATTACTATTATTGGCTCCGTATTGCACCCGCAAGCGTTTCGAGTTTCTTTGCGCGCCAGGGCGAGCGGCAAAGGCAGAGACTTTTGCGACGTTTTTGCACCCCGGCTGGATAGCATGGGCAGGTTCTGAGTAGGGAAAGGATAGATGCCATTACGAAACTACTGGTAGAGATGAAGTTGTGGCTCCGAGATGCGTTCCGACTGGACTCAGCGGTAGCTTACAAGGAACAAATTCCATGTTGTGCTTCGAATGTATAGCTCGCGAGCTACCTGGCTGAGTGCCAAACAAATTTCCACTGCTAGAGCCAGCAGCCAGCGGATGACCACGCCAGCAGCTTGTAGCGAGAAAGAATCTGATGGTTGCCGGCGACTCTTCTATGAGGTTCCAGGGTATATGTATATACACATTGTGTATAAATATGTATGCATGTATGTGTGTGTGTGTGCGCGTGTGCGTGGTGACCCCTTTTTCTAGAAGAGCGGAAGCCAGGATTCGGACGTGTCTGTTCCGACCCTCAAACTCTAAATTTTCAGCATCATCGTTGATGAGTTCATGCCCCCAGCCTTGCGCCAGAAACCTCATACCCTGCCTCCAACTAGCTTAAACCTCAACCCTAATCCCCAGAACCCTGAGCCCTAAACTCTAAGCCCTATAAACCCTGAACCCAGAAATCCCGAACCCGGAACTCTAAATCCCATGCCCCAGTCCGAAGATTCAAAGCTTTTCAGCTCCGACAGCAGCAAAGGCCAGAAGAGCTGAGCGGCTAGAAGTGCTCAGCCTTCGAAGGCCCAGAGCAGTAGAGGGGACGTAATTAACCATTACCTACATCATTTTTTTTTTTTTGGGGGGGGACTTCCTTATTATAGTTATAGTGTGACATGCCCCAAGGCTGTATTCCAATTGTGAAGGCCCCTATTTTAGTTGTTTTCGGGTTGGGGTTTGGGGTTTAGGGTTTGGGGGACTAGGTTCAGGCTTTAGGGTTTAGGGAAGTTTAGGGTGCCAGGGTGCTGCTTCTTGTTTTTTTTTTTTTTTTTCCGGTCTGACTGTCGCGCTACACCTGCAAGTCTCAGACTGTGTGGCTATTGCCTTGTCGGTTGTCACGAGCATTTTTTTCCACTGGCTGCTGCTCTTGCCCGTTTATTTTGGGTTGCTATAAAGAAAAAGTTGGGTTTCCCGGATCAGCCTGAGAGCATGGCATCTCTTCGGCAGGTGCTTCACTGGCCTATGGGGGCCAAGGGAATCCGGCTGCAGCAGCCGTTCCGAAGCGTCCAAGCCTGCAGTCCCATGTCGGTAGGCTGAGGTCACAGTCAAAAAGCGAAGGCTTGTAGATGAGTTCTCCGAGTATTAGTAGCTCAGAGGCTCATAGGTTTGAGGTGTCGCAGGCTCTACAAGACAGCACCCCACCTATGCGTCTGTACTCCCGCACGTGAACTCTATGAGCACGGGTCTTCCGTTCGGCACCCGTGCCAGTTTGCTCGAGGATCGCTGGCTGGAATGTTAGGATCGATGTATTCGAGGCCTGCATGGCTTGGACCTTTTTGATGTACATCATTGCGGACTTCCAGTGCATCTTTCCTCAGGTGCCTTAGTGTTTTTACTACAAGTTGTTTCTGAAAAAGTACATCTGTGGTCTCGGGATTATTGATTGCTGTTGTTGCGATGACTGTGATCGTTATTTTTCCGATGAGTAAGTGACTAGTGTGAGTGTGTGTTCCATCTTCGCCGTACTTAGCATGTTTATATAGCCTCTCTTGCTCATGTAACTGTAAGTTCTGTTGCTAGTGCTCATATTCCTGTTGTTACCGTGGACGCCAGAAGAGTCTGAACAGCTTGCTCGGTATTCTGGGTTTGGTGGTTTCAACGAGCATGCAGCAGGCTTAGTTAGTTGCTTCGAGCCTAAGCCAGTGGGCAGTTCATGGGGCTTACGTAGTGGCAAAGTTTCCTGCAGACCCCTCGAAAGACTTGAGCTCATGGCCCTTTCTGCATCCCACAGCCTGAAACGAGTGATATCGCGAATCCCGTGGGCCACTGCCATCCGCCTAGCCAGCTTCGTTCTAACATAAGCTGCAAGCTAAAGCAATGGAAGCCGCCACACCTGCATGCTGTAGTTCGTGCGTGAGTCTTGTGCTGATGAGGCGCTGCCTGTAAGGTGCACTTAGCCGAAAGCCAGTATAATCAGTGCACAGGCCGTCGTAGTGGAGCAGAGGAAGAGTAGAATCAGCACCGGGTGCCACTAGCAGTAGCAGTAGCAGCAGCACTTTCGCGAACACATTTTCTTCAACGCTACCACCGCTGCAGCTGCTCCTGCTCCTGCTGCTTCTCTTGCTCCTGCTGGCACTACTGCTGCGACTAACTGCTACGACTACACTACTACAAAAACTGCTACTACGACTACTGCTACAACAACAACAACAACAACTACTACTACTACTACTACTACTACGACGACTCCTATGACTACCATGATTGCTATGACTACGATGACGACTATGACTACCATGACGACTATGGTACTATGAATATTGTGACTATTATTATTATTACTACTACTACTCCTACTGCTACTACTACTACTACTACTACTACTACTACTACGACGCCTACTACTACTACTACTACTACTACTACAACAACTACTACTACTACTACTACTACTACCACTTCTACTACTACTACAACAACAGCAACAACAACAACTACTACTACTACTACTACTACGGCGACGACGACTCCTATGACGACTATGGTTAATATGGTTAATATGACTATGACGACTATGACTACCATGAATATTATGACTATTGTTCTTTACTATTACTACTATTACTACTACTACTACTACTACTACTACAACAACAACCACTACTACTACTACTACTACTACTGCAACTGCTACTGCTACTACTGCTATTATTATTAATATTATTACTACTAGTATCACTACTACAACCTCTACCACTGTTACTTCGACTACTACTGCTACTACTACCACTACTGCTACTACTGCTACTACTGCTACTACTGCTACTACTGCTACTACTACTACTACTACTACTACTACTACGACTGCTCCTGCTCCCCTGGCCCTGCTGCTTCTATCTACGGTTGAAACCATGGGCCCCTAGTATGGGCCCTTAACTCTGGGACCCTTATACACCTATTATATACCCTATATGTCGCCTTAAGGGTCCCTAGAAAGGCTGAAGGGTCCATATTCGGGGCCCATACCTTTAATGTTAGATTCTACGGACTACGACTACTGCTGACATTACCACAATCATTAGTAATACCACTTCGAACAGTACTCGAACACTACTACGAACAGCCCAAAACCGCCACCGCCACCCCCACTGCCGCGGCCACCCACCACCACCACCGCCACCACCACCACATCACCACCTGAATACGGAATTATAGTGCCACCGAGCTTGCGCCCTTCGGCACAGATGCGCGCAAGGGAATTTAACGTTTAGGAATCGCAATCGGCGATTGCACTCTGTCCCAGATTGAGGTCTATGGCACCAGCAAGTCGTCACAGAGTCATGGGTTGGTAGAATGTGTAGGCACTGTCAGCATCTGCTCTGGAAAGGCCCATTTAAGCGAAATGGATCTTGCGATTCCAAACACGGAAGTTAGGGCGCAGGGTGTGGGACATACGGACATACGATAGCAGCATCAGTGCAGCTGCCAAATGTCAAGCTGTGTTGAACCATTCCGCCAGTTCGCAGAGGTGGCTGTAATTGCGGGATCGAAGAATTTAAACTCTAGTGCCCTTCCCCGCGGGACATTGGCACAGAGCAAGCCGCCGATCGCAACATTAGACATGAGGCGCGCATGTCCATGTGGCCAGTTGCTCGGTAGTAGAGGCATCTTGGATCAGGTTGCACAGTTGGCAGGTACATATGCGCCCGCGGAGTCAGAACCTAAGTGTGGTGTTTGCTGGTTCTCTTCCGGCTGTATTCCCATGTGAGCTGCGACTTTTCACTTTGGCCAACTGGTGCATGCAGCGCTGCGTGCTCACATCCAATGGAAGGAGGGCAAGGGAAGCAGTGTTTCAGTGTAATCATTCCCAAGCAAGTCTCAGAACCTGGTGGTCTTTCTGCTTGCTAGGAGGGCTTGTGCTCTATTCTCACATTGCTTGTGGCTTGTCTGTGGCATCTGGAGGGAAGCATGGCAACTCTTGTGCTCTTCGTCTGGGACTGTTTATCCTCTCCGCCGGTCCCGGGCTCCAAACGAATGAAGTGGGGCCTTGCAGCGCCACAGCAACTGCAAGCAGCATGGTGAAGCTTTAAGAAGGCCCTAAACCCTGAACCCCAAACCCTTCCTTTCTTCCATGGTCGCCTGACCAAGTTTTCTCGGTGGGAAGCCAAAGGCCCTCCATC